GCCACGCCAATGAGCCGTGCTAATTAATAATAATAAAAAACAAGCGAGAATGCCGATCTTTGCCACGCCGAAGATTTAATACGCTTTGTGTTAGAAGATCTTTAATACTATTCCTGCCAATTGTTCCTATAATAGCCATATAACATAAGGTCCGATTCAATCTGATTAGGTTTTGCAAATATGTCCGAACATCGAAAATCATATAACATATAATATAGTAGTCCGATGTTGAAAAGATTGCGGTTAGGATGCTTTAAAAAACCGATGGTTGTTTCTATCTAATATAATAAAAAGATGATCAAGAATATATTTACTTAGTAGGCTTGAAAATCTCTTCTTCTATTCGGAATACAGCTTGTGAGTACACGAAAATAGCCTCTGGAAGGGTATAAAAACGTACGTGGAGCAGGAAGACATGGCTCGAGCCCTGGCTTAGGCTTTGGGCCATGTCGATGGTCTGCATGTTTATTTTTAGACAATAAACTGAACGATGCGGCAGTGCAATGCAGTCAACAGCATCCAACGGCTAATGGTAATGAGCTGCAGGCTATTTACAGTTTGGCTGCGGCCTTGCAGCGGCTGCTGCTGCTGCTTCTGCTGCTGCCGCCCCCTTTGGCTGGCCCGGGGCAAATTTATGGGCCAGCATCAATCTGTTGGCTTAATGCTGCTGCGTCTTGATTAGCATGCTATGGCATGGTCCAGGGTCGTGGTAGAAGGGGGTATAAGGGGGCTACCGCAACCCCCAAAAAGCACAAAGCGCCGTTGAATGGCCTTCAACGTCCTTGACTGTGCATTTAGCTATCGGAACGGGTCTGTAATTATATATATTTGCTTATTATTGAGCCTCTCCATTGTTGTTGTTGTTGTTTATTGTTTTTATTGCTTTTATAGCTCACGTTTTGAGCGCTCACCGAATATTGTAATTGATGTGAATAATGCGATGCGAATCTCTCAGACGCTCATCTACGTTGGCCATACTATGTCTAACTATTAGCAAACAATTTGTATTGTCTGATAGTTAATCACTTCTAACGTCATCGATTTATTTATAAATAATATTATTACCGCCTAAATACATTAGTTCATTTATTATGTATGTTGAAATGCGTTGTGTATGCTAATTGCGTATGTGGCTACTGCTAAATGGGCCAGGTTAGTAGCCAGGCCACAAGGACAGGGTGTAATTATATAGAAGTACCCCTACAGAGTTGGACAAAGGCAGACCATGAATAGAGTGCTCCAGGCTCTGAGAGACAACGAAGTAGTATGCAAAGACCCCTTTGCAATATTAAGCAGCAATATATATATATAAAATAATAAACTAGGTAATCTTTTAAGATACTTTGTGCTCAGATTCTGTGCGTGAACACAAACGAAATCAAAAAGTCATCATCGCACGATAGATGCCCGGGCACCCAGTTTCATAAAGGGATCTTGGGCAGCGTGCACGTGTGAATGTGCCTAATGAGTATTCAATTGCTGCAGAAAGCAACCGAATACAACGCATAAATGCTATTTCGAAAGACATTACAGATCGATAGATGCGAAGTTCGATAAGCAAAAAAAAAAATAACTAGAAAAAAAGTTAAAAAAATAGAATCAAAAATTATTGAAGAACTGCGGGACACTTGAAAAGCAAACTGAAGAACCATGCTCAGCGAAATTAGAAAGAAGTGCGCCAATGAATTGGGGTCAATAGGAAATGAAAAGTGAAATTTCACTTAAAGCTTACCAAAGACCGATTGCCTTTTGTTCCACACACACACACACACACACGACCACATTTTGGGGGTATTGGCAAAAGGAACTGGCAATTTAAATATCATTAATTTTTGGGTTAAGCCTTTGTGTTGAGTACTTGAAAATTGCCACCGTGTAATCAGACTTTGACAGCAACAAGAGTGCCTCCAGGCAACAACTTTGCCGATCTGATGGTCACGTTAAAAACCAATGAAACGTGTAAAGAAATTGACCAACTATGGATATAATTGGGAATAATATATTTGACATGCTGAAGCTATGATTATGTTCAAGCGAAATGCTTAATCAGTTTATTTTAATATGATCCAATAGAATAATGTCGAAGAAAGTTTCCAATTCTTATGAGACAAGATAATAATATTGAGGGAACACATTTAGAAAGTTTCTTATAAGATTAATTAATTTAATCATTGACAGCAATTTTGGCAAATATAACAAAGACCATGAATATGTGAGTATTAGCAGAGTTAAGGCTTATTATATTGCCAACACAACTTGTTAACATACATACCAAATACTTTTTACTACAGCATAAAATGCTCTGAGTGTTACTTGATTTCATGAGAATCGCATAGAGCGGCATTATTAACAAAGTCGCTTGGTGCAGCGCAGCGGGAAGTAAACTTGCTCTGCTGTTGGTTGAAGAGAACAAATGTATAGCCCGTCAGGGCTTATCTTTAAATTTTAAGCATCCCATCCTAACCCATTTTTCTTCTGTGAAAATATAACAAATTATCTATACTTGCACCCACTGTGAATCACGATCATCTAAAAAAGAAAAGCTCGTCTTTGATTAATTTTACAGATCCGAAGAAACACAATATAGTTGCACACATTAGTGTTATGAATGCCGCCGAAATTAAGTTTAAAGCAGTATATACATATATTTTTGGAATGATTTAGTTTTCAGTATACGTTAGAATACAACCTAAGTCCATAAAAGAAGTTTACCTCAGTTGCAGCCATCACAAAGATATATGCAAACAACACACCTTTGGCAAGGTTATTGGTAAGCTTTCTGAATAATTTTTGTTAACATTTTTCAATAAGTAATAAAAGTTAATAACTATTAATTATGCATGTTTTGTGTAAATTGTAAAAAAAAATGCTTGTCAAACGCTTTACGATATAATCAATTAGCACGATTTATGTTGCACTTGCTGCCACAAAGCTTGCCACCCGGCGGCAGTTCCGCTCGTTCCAGCTGCGGCTCCAAGTACCTGGACTAGCCTCAAGCGTGACTCATCTAAGAGACGATCAGCAGCATCCATTGGTAAACACAGAGTTCGTGCTAAACGAGACCTTCTGCAGTTTGGGTTGACGCATTGGAACCTGCGACTCAGTCGAGATGAACAAGAAAAGCATATTAAAAAAAAAGTACAGCCACAAAAAATGGAAGAAATAAAATAAACCCAGAAGGGAAATACTCGCATGTAAAACCAAAGTTTGACGTAATTAAAAAAGGGTGCGTGGAACGGCAACGGAGTTACATGAGCTTTTGTGTGTACTTAAGCCATAAAATCCAGCGACAACAACAACCACAGTAAAAACTGAATAAAAATAACGAGCTAATAAAAGCGCCACAGCAACAGGTGTGAACATGTGTGTGTGTGTGTGTGTGTGTGTGTGTGTGTGCTGAAAGGGCCGAGCTGGCACATTAAATTTGTTGCGGCTGATGACGCGACAACAACGTTGCTATCAATGAACAATGAGTATTAATTTTCATAAATAATCACATTAAAAATATTACTATAAGATTTGCCTATTTGTGCTATTGTTGTTGTTATTGTAGTAGTTGTTGTTGTTGTTGTTGTTCTTGTTGCTGTTGCTGTGGTTTTTGCATTGGTTAGCTAGACAGAGACTTGAGTCATCTTTAACATGGTTAAAAACGTATTATTGAAGACGGAAATGAATGCCAGGAAAAAAACAACGAAATTGTATACAAATACGCAAATAAAAAAAACGTTATGCATGGAGGTAAACAGCTGCCAAAGAATAAATTAAATTTATTATAAGACCCAGGCACAGGCGCTGGCCAACACTAGGCAGGCAAGCAGGTGCGCGGGCTGGCGACGAGTCGGTCGTTCTGGACTGGCAGAAGAATCTTTACACACATCAACATCTTAGCTGTGTTTAAATTTAAACACTGAGCTCAGCTATTCTGGCATGCCATAACCATAACCCGAAGATAGCTGCGAAAGGCCTTATCAGCTTACGACTGTTTCTATGGGGCTTACTTTCCATCACAGCATAGTCGTAGTAGCTGGAACTGAACTGGTCTCAAATTGCTGCCAAAGCGTACAGAATTTCATTTGTTTTTTATATACCCTGTAGCTATTGAAATAGGGCATAATAAAGCTGTGCCTATGTATGTGACAGAAAACAAGAAAACATTCCCGATACCATAATGTACGTATATATATATATATATCTAGCCGACCAGTTCGTTAAGCCGAGGCCGAAATTAGCTGGAGCTTATACACTATTTCGATTAATATCGATTTATATCACTTGCTCTTCGAAAATACGAAATTTGAAATATAGGTTCACAGTTTGTTTAGAAGGATCTGAAATATATTTTATTTATGGATATCTCACTGTTGCTCCAAAATGAAATTATTGATAGATTCCTCCTTTTTTGTTTAAAACCATCTTTTTGCTCTGAAAATTGTATAACGAACTGACATCAGTGCACTGTTTAGTGTACAGGGTATTCTCTAGTCGAACACCATTGACTAGAGCACTCATTAGTTTTTTACCTCCTTTTTTTAGTTTTCAACAACAATTTGGCAAACAAAACATTTGCGACGCGACCAAAAAATGATAAATGATGCGCAGTTCTGCAGTTGCCCAAAAAATAGTTGTGTTTAACGTATGTTTTAATAAAGCTTAACTAATTAAACACACTCGCACACACACACACACACACACACTCACACAAGCAGGTGTAAGCTCAAGCACACAGGTAGTACATATTTGCGTGTTTTTATATAATATAAAAAATTTATTAAATTTGTAGTTTATATTATAAAACATAATAATTAAACAAATATTGCATCAAATTTGGCATTTGAGGTTTTTGAACTTGTCGAAGGACGGAAATAAAAAACTATATTTTCAACGCATCAACATTGACAAGATAGTTGATGATAGTTTATATTAATAGAGATGTCTAAATCTTAACTTTAAGCTCAGGGTGAATCCATGCATGGCAAACTAAAACTACGAGAAAACTTCCACTAATGCGCCGTTAGATTGCTCAGGCAGGGCGAATTGTTCTTGAACAGATCCGCAAGGGTAAACAAATTTAGATAGGTGGACAGAAATGTGGCCAATAAACCAAATATCAACACGCCCATGGTGCAGGATATGTCGCATTCCAAGCGATGCAACAGACGCACCAGACGCAACCAACAGCCTTGCGTTGTATGCGGCTTGGCCGCCACCAAAAGCGGCTCCATTTCCAGCTCAATGGGATCGTAGTTGAGATCCAGCGGCAGGCTGCCATAGCTGGCCTCGGCAGCAATCCGCTGATGCACGCGCTCCATGCGCCGTATGCGACGGTACAGCAAGGGCGGCAGAATAAACACCAAGGGACCGGTGATAGTGCCACCAACCACATCCATGAGCGTATCAAAACTGGGCACAAACTCGGCCACCAGCACCTCCAGGGCCAGCACACAGGAACGTATGAGAATGCGTTTGCAGGAAAGAGCTAAATGAAAGAGCTTAAGCGACCGCTAGAGACTGGATGCCATTCCTTGACTCACACTCGGGCAACTTGAAGAAGTTCTCGATCTGCAGAAACATGGCCGAGCTGGCGACAGTCACCGAGAAGCACAGCTGCAGCGACATCAGTATCAGCATCACATAGAAGGGCACACTGGTGGGAAGCGACTGCAGCAGATTGCTGGCAACCAGGGCACCGAACTTGTAGGCGGCTATGATGGCACCAACAATGGCCACGCTGCAAGTGACTAAACAGATGGAGATCAACGTGTTGCGGCAGCCGCTTTTAGTCCAACAAGTCTTCACTTACTGGCAATGCCAACGAGCGCCGCCCAGGACACTTGCGATTTGCGTTTCATATCGATTTGCAGCGTGAGCAGCATGGGATGTATGTCGAACTGGAAGGCCAGAATGCTGTAGCTGCTCAGGATGGTCAGAAAACCAGGTAGCTCTGTAAAACCAAACAAATATATACACATACATTTATATTATTTAGTGGGAGCTTGCGCACCCATCGAGATTCCTTGAAACGGCGCTCCAATCGCAGCCGCATCGAGCAGGCAATACCAGAGCAGCCCCACAATTATAATCAATACACAAGCGGCTATAATGGCCAGGCCGCTGATAGGTGAGAAAATAAATTTCGGAATTAACCAGGTGAGAATATTTACGGATTGCCGAAGATTCAATACCCTTGCAGACATATGGAGAATTTACTTAGAGTACTTTACTTATCAAGATAGTTAAGTTATCTTGAAAAACAAAACAGTTGTTCGGAAATATTATAAATTTTCGACAACTGCGTAAGTACTAATAGTCCAAATTTAATAAATATTTCCCATTCTCATTATTTATGAGTGTACTAAAAATGTATATCAATACATATAAGATTTTCTTCTCAACAACGAGAATATGTTCTCGATTCCAGGCAAGTGTATGGATATAGGATTGTTTTAGGCGAAGAGCATAGTTGACATAGTTATAACTATTTATAATAAAATTCTTTATGGATAAGGAGAAATATGCTTATAAGATAATTTACCCAAAAGGTTTTACAAATTTTTTATGGAAACTATATAATGTAGTGTTCCAGTCCGACCACAAGTGACTAATCTCAACAGATCCATGTAAAATTATATTGCAATAGCTTTAAAATTAAAAGAATGTTTGGAAGCAGACAAACAGCTACATAAACTTAAATGAATATATCAACTTCATACGCCAGCTTGCTTAAGAATAAATATTCATAATGAAATCGGATTAGTCTCCTACGAGCCATTATGTTTTTAGTGTCTGTAAGGACCTTAAGTGCCATTGCCTGTAAAAAGATCGTATTACCGCATGTGCTTGGGACTGCCAAGCCACATGAGTGGACAGATAACGAGACCCACAACAATGGCCCAATAGCAGTAGGAGAAACTGTATTGGCCAGCGCTCATGCGGAGCACGACGGCCTCCAGATTCTCGGCAGCCATGACAATGCTGGGCACAGCCATGGCAAAGATGCTCAGGTCCAGCAGCACCGATACCAACAGGCTCACATAGGGTCCATAGGCCAGCTCTGCGAGTGCAGCATATGGGTAGTTGCGTTTCTGCAGTATTGAGGGATCCAAATACTCGGCCATAGTCCAGCATTGCGACAGCAGAAAGGATGTGTACATTTGCAGAAAGATGATGGATAAGACTAGGAGCAAGCCAAAGTAACCCAAGCGAACCAGCAGTGAGGGCAGCGTCAAAACCGGGAAGATACCAAACAGGTCCACCACATAGAGAATGGCAATGAACAAGGAAAGGCTCTCCGGCTCATCCTCGTAGGCGCGAAAGTGCGGCAAGGCGCTGAACCGAGAGCGTCTCAAAAATGGTAGCTGATCGTGTTGATGCGAGGGCTTCAACAGCACGGGCGAATGGCGCTTAGGTAATGCAAAGGACGGTGCTCGCGAGGGGCGTGGCGGGGGCTTGACATTAGAACGCCGAAAGAAAAACATTCACTCAAGCTACGAACCAAACGCGGCGACTGAAAGCGCGCAACTGATGGTGCCTCCAAGACCAGAATCAAACAATGGCAAGCAGCTTGCAACAGTTTGACACATGATATGCCAACTGGGCGAGGGTGTGCAGCAACTGGGAAGCCCTCTTGCTGCAATGTCAATGTACGTAACAAGAACGCGCAAGAACTTCAATAGGAGGTAGCAAGTTCAATGCCTTCCAGTTGATGGACTGACCCAAAGAGGAGAAAGAAATGCGCCTTCTAGTCACTGGGAGCTAAGCAACATTTAACCAGTAAATAACATTTATTTATTTTTACAATATGATATCTACAACACCGAAAACATAGTCCTTTGTAAGTATCCAGCCTGTATTATTCCGCAATTTCTCGTTTGAGCACTTTAGACCTGCTGCACTTGGGCAATCTTCTGTTTCTTGGCCTGTGTTTGCTGCAAGAGTTTCGATTGATATCATTAGCTCGGCTTTATAAATTTAACATCTTTTACTTACCTCCAAGGCGTCGTTGCTGCCGTTGTCCTTGGCCTGTACTGTTATTACCTGCACCGCCTGACCCGGTCCTGAGCGATTCAGGAGCAGCTTGGTGGTGGCCCGTGGCGTTTCGCCACAGCAAAAGACGCGCGTTGTCTGCTGCCTAAGCAGACTGTCCGACTCATCCATTAGCTGTTCCGATTGATCATTGTCCAATTTCACTGAATTCTTGTTATTATCCATGTAAACGCGATTGAAATTCAAATGATTTGGACGCACTGCATCCGTTATATACTTACTACAATCCATCATAAATGTATGCGTGTCAATACAACAACAACAACAAGTTATAGCGTGTTATATGAATGGGTTATTCTTGAAAAGTAATTGGGTGCAACCTAAGCTGATACGTACACTGGAACACCATATAACATCAGGCGTATAAGAAGTGTACATACGTGTTGTTATGTATTTACAAAAGAGTGTATATTTACATGCAAGAGCAAGAAAATGGTCAAACTATAAATTTAAAAATTTCTATTATGAATTCTCTGCTTTTGCACACTCACACTCCATGAACAGGCGCCACTGCACGAGTAGATCTTGAGTTGATTGCTGATAGTGGTAATATTGTTGCTGATGGTGGTGCTGATGTTGGTGGTGCTCCTGCGTTTGTCGATCTGTTGGTGCTAATTCTAAATGGTGCAAGGTGCAGTGCAGACAGCGTCATGCTTTGCCCTCAGGCGGAGTATCCTGCCTTCAGTATGAAATCATTGCAAAAGAGAGAGTTATAAATAGTTGGTTTTGGTGCAATAACATGGTCGCTATGTTCGGGCAGAGTGTGGCTGAGAGTCGATGGCAATGTCAGGATGCTGCATCCTGTGGCGCTAACTATGTCCAATCAGTGTACGTATCAAGTTTTAAGCGTGGTGCCAAAAATGAATGGATAGTGGGCTGAACAAAAGTGGGCACTTACGATTTCACATTGTACAAGCCCTGACGGTTTATATAACTGAGCACCAGCTCATCTAGAAGGTACTTGACCGATTCACCGCGATTTAGGAGACGACGCACCAGAGAAGAGCTGACTTCGTTGGGCACCCAGTTAGTAATAAGCGTTATGTTGCGCTACAAAATTGAATGCGTATTAATATAGGTAATCCGTTTAGCATTTTGCATACTCACCTGATATTTGCTTAGAATATCCGATTCAAATATGAATTTTTCAGGATTTGAGCCACAACGGGATATGACAACTAGTCCATGGTTCGCCACTATTTCTTCAATCTAGCAGAAACTTAGAATTATTTATTATTTCTCAGCTATGTAACATGTGTCTTACATCCTCATTGGCCCACAAGCCGGGCACTGCAAACGATTCTAGTAAATCGGCACCACATAACAGTTTTAGACTTATGGGATCACGACGTTCGCGAAGACCAAGTGGCAACCAACCAGGTAGTAGGCCATTTTGCTCCTCATCGCCCGGCGAGTTGATATAGTTGTTTAGGTAGTTCTGATGATGCTGCAGCACGGATTGTGTGCGCATCCATTGCGGCTGGTGTACCTCCCAATCGGATAAACGTATCCAGTTGGAGGTCTGAACCGCAAGCTTTATCATGGCGCAGCGATCCATCGAAGGCGCCAGTCCCTTCTTGCCATAGGAATCATGTGTGGGTGATATAATGCCACCCACAACCTTGTGTGTACCACGAAGCTCAAAGTAATCTCGTGCTATCTCTGTTTAACATGAGATTCAATGTCAATGTCAATATTGATTATCACCGGGCCGTCGTAAACAAATTACTTACCGAACAAACGCAAATGCATAGGCGTTGGAGGGCTAAAGCATCCACACGCTATGAGCGCTATGCGTGGCAACATGCAGGTTTTTTCCTCAATGAAGCCGGACATTTGCTTAATTAATGGGCAGGAGCCACCGAAACGTATATTAGTAAGTCAATAACTTCCTCGTCTTAAGTAATTTCGCCATCTGTTCACGCCGCACCACAACCTCACTAATTCGCCGCCACAGTCGATATATTTTTGTTATCGTGAGCTGCCAACCTGTGCAAATATGCGCAAGTTTGTACTTATTCGATTAGTTTCAGAACTCGTAGTACCTGTTATCGACTATAAAATTAAATATGGCGTCGTCGTGCTAAACTGCCTTTGGCTCTGGCTCTTTGACGAAAACTTTTTTGTAAAAACATTTATCATATTTATTCGTATACGTTGTGCGCTGTTAATAGTTTAAACGGGCGTGTGCTGTTTTTGCAGTTCGGTGCAACGTGCCGCCATAATCTTAGCCTTTTAAGTTAGACAAGACGAAGTGCCGAGTGCAAAAACAACGGAGAGGAAACGACGTCGACAAAATGAAAATGCATTTGTGAATTTTCGCCCCAACACTTGACTCAACATACACACAGACACACACGCACATAAGCCCAACGAACCTCAGCAAAGGATAGTTAAAAGCACGCGGCCAGCATAGGCAATAACGAAGGCCTTGGATACGGAGTAGCAGCAGAAGAAGCACCCAACAGCAACATAACACAATGGCGCTAGTTACAGTGCAACGTTCGCCAAGTGTGGCGGGCTCTTGCTCGAATTCGGTGAGTTGTATGAATTTATATATAAATATATATATGTATGTATGTGCAGTAAATGTGAAGTAGGAAGTGGGCGCAACGGGCGGCCTGCAAAATATGTGAGTTGCCCCATTTCTATGTAAGGTGCAATTTTACAGCTGCAACCAGCTACGCATTTGTTTATTTGTTTGTGTGTGTGTATGTGTATGCGTGCGCTGTAATCAAACACTCACACGCTCGCTCGCGCTCTCTCTCCCTCTCTCTATGATTTTGCTTTGTTTTGGTTACGCGTTGCTAATGTAGCTCATTTGAGTTGGGTGGTGTGTGTGTGTGTTTGTGTGTGTGCGCGTGCCTTGGCCACCGCCTATAACCACTTCCTGTGCGTGTTCCGTGTTAGTCAGTGATCCTTTTGTTGTGTATACGTGTGCCTCGCGCCCATATGGCCAATTTATTTAAATGCGAATATCATCAAAAGCGCTCCAGTCTCGCACTACGCGCCGCTCTCTGGCTGTTTGTCTTGTTGTGGGCGGTTTTGTCAGCGTCATCATCAGTCGCGCCACGATTCGCGCATCTGTTTGTTGTTTGATGTGGTAGTTGTTGTTGTTGTTTTTATGTCCAATACCTATTGAAAATGGGTAAAAAAAAAAGAAGGGTATAATAGTTTTGTGCAAATATATGTAGCAGGCAGAAGGAGGCATCTCCTCGCCCCATGTCCGTCGGCTTGCTTCAGACACTTTGAGCAGTAGATAGTGCGGGAACTTTTAGAGCTGGATATTTATATAACGTTCCTCTATATCAAACTTCTTATAGAAGGGTTTTAATTATTAACAACTACTCTCGTATCCGCCTTTTGTGTTTGAGCATATATCGTAAAATATAAGAAGTATAAAGGTAGGCTTTCGTCAAGTATTCGAATGTATACTATGGCAGCTCGAATCGGATTACAGGGTATCTATTAATTGGGAACCGTCGACTAGAGTGCTCTTTTCTTTTCTTGTTATTTATTGTTGTAACTCAACCAAATCCGAGCAGACGTCTCGACGTCGCAGCTGCCGCACCATGTCTCGCGCGCGCTCTCTTCCATTTTCAATAAATTGAAAATTTTGCATTACCTTATTTGTAGTTTTGTCAACGTCGCTCTGTGATTTTTCTTGCTGGTTCCGTTAGCGCAGTGACGGCAACGTCCTCGCCCCCCCAAAAATAGTTCTCAAGACCTTGGCTACGGCCTGCCCTTGGAATTTTTATTCATTAGACAATATTGTAAACATAAGCTACCCACCATGTAGGTGGCTACGCTCGCCTGCTCTCCGCTTCTTTCTTTCTCTCTCTCTCTCTCTCTAAATCTCTCACTGCAAAGCAATTCATCATCAAAAGTTTGTTTGGTTACGAATTTCACTTAACTCCAAAAATGTCAGAATCAGATATTATATTTTGTATACACCGTTGGGTGAGTCTGAGTCACTTAGCTGCAATCGCAATTCGCGGAAGAAGTGAAAGAAATTGAATAAGGAAATAAACAACATATGGAATGTCTTTACAGGATGGCGAGGCTGATGACGATGAGGGCAACAGTAACAATAAAAGCGAAAGGAGTGAATGCTATTTTGCTGGCAAAGGCACCGCTCTGGTGTTGGCACTCAAGGACATACCGCAACACGCGGAGCGTCGCCTTAGCACTGACTCGACGCGATCCAGCAATAGTACGCAAAGCAATAACTCGGACATACAGCTGCATTTACAGTCCATGTTCTATTTACTGCAACGTGAGGACACCTTGAAAATGGTGAGTACAATGAATATCTATTTATTGGACTATCAATTGCTCATACAGCTCTTATCTTTACAGGCTGTCAAACTGGAGTCGCAGCGTTCAAATCGTACACGCTACCTTGTGATTGCCTCGCGCAGCTGTTGCCGCACGGCGGCCAGTAGTGAGCGACGCACTAAAATCATGCGTCATAATTCTGTTAAGTCGACGGCTAGCGCAACGCCAGCACCGCCCGGCACACCTGTTGCGCAACGCCAGTTATCCGTGGATAGCCACAAGACACAGCAACTCGCTCAAGAAGAAACGGCGAAGCATCTAGCGATTAACGCCAATCGTCAAAGCCTAAAATGTGATGCCGATGGTCGGGATACGACAATTGCTGGCGCCGGCGACAGCAACAAGAATACCTCGGGTATGGAGGAATCATGCCTGCTGGGCATTGATTGCAACGAGCGGACGACCATTGGCCTAGTCGTGCCCATACTCGCGGATACCACAATTCACCTGGACGGCGACGGGTGGGTTTCGAATTAACTGTCCAAATTCCATTATTCTAATTCATTTTTTGCAGTGGTTTCAGCGTCGCCGTCTACGAGAAGACCCACATATTTAAGCCCGTATCGGTGCAAGCTATGTGGTAAGCTATTTTCTCAAAGAACTCTAAATTCACAACTATTTCATTCATTCTTTGGTCTTATAACTATAGGTCAGCGCTGCAAACGCTGCACAAAGTGTCTCGAAAGGCTCGTGAAAACAATTTCTATCCAAGCGGACCATCGCACGATTGGCTATCCATCTACGAAAGTCGCATAGAGTCGGATCAGTCGTGTTTAAACGAATGGAATGCCATGGATGCCCTCGAGAGTCGGCGCCCGCCCTCACCAGATGCCATAAGAAACAAGTAGGAAACTAAACTAAACTTGTGCCAGTTGCCAGCAGATTTAACTGCTTTGCGAATCGTTTAAAAATTTTTTGTACAGAACATGATCATAGATTATGTTTTAAATCTGTGCCTCTATTGTTTGCAGGCCAACCGCCAAGGAGGAAACTGAAAGTGTCATTAAAATGAAGCTCAAAGCAATCATGATGTCGGTGGATTTGGATGAAGTTACCTCCAAGTATATACGCGGCCGTCTAGAAGATTTATTAGATATGGATCTGGGCGAGTACAAGTCATTTATTGATGCCGAAATGCTGCGTATATTGGGCCAAATGGATGCGCCCACTGAAATATTTGATCACGTCTATTTGGGCTCGGAATGGAATGCCAGCAATTTGGAAGAGTTGCAAAAAAATGGGTAAGTTCGAAAAGAAACCAAGTTTGTTAATGCTGAAGCCAGCGAATATATATTTATATATATTTATTTTCCACACAGTGTTCGACACATTCTGAACGTTACCCGCGAGATTGATAACTTCTTTCCGGGCACCTTTGAGTACTTCAATGTGCGAGTCTATGACGACGAGAAAACGAATCTACTTAAGTACTGGGATGACACATTTCGCTATATAACTCGCGCCAAGTCCGAAGGTTCCAAGGTGCTGGTGCACTGTAAAATGGGAGTAAGTCGATCTGCTTCTGTGGTCATTGCTTATGCAATGAAGGCATACAAATGGGAGTTCCAGCGCGCCCTGGAGCATGTAAAGAAGCGTCGGAACTGCATTAAGCCGAACAAGAACTTTCTCAATCAGTTGGAAACGTACAGCGGAATGCTGGATGCAATGAAGAATAAGGAGAAGCTGCAGCGGAGCAAGAGTGAGACCAATCTGAAAAGCACAAAGGACGCACGCCTTCTGCCGGGCAGTGAGCCAACGCCACTGATACAGGCGCTCAATCAGGCCAAATCGAAATCAACTGGCGAGTCGACCGCTGAGCAACGGGACAGCAGCGAGCGTGGTCAGTATCGTCGCAGCAGCGCACAAAAACAGCGTCGCATGATGCGTCGTTCGAGCAGCACATCGCCCAAGACACAATGTGCCGTGGAAGTGATCAAGCAGCAAAGCCAATCTATGGAGAATCTAACGCCAGAACGTAGCGTGGCGGAGGAGCCGAAAAACATGCGCTTTCCAGGCAGTAATGGCGAAAACTATAGCGTCACCCAGAATCAGGTGCTGCACATACAGAAGAACACGCCCTTGTCAGTGCGTACGCGTGTCCATGATCTCGAGGCTCATCACGAGCCACCGCGTCCCAGTCTGCTGTCGCAGGCCCCAGCACAGACGCAGCCAACGCAAACACAAGGACCTGTGTGGACCTCACTGTCCAAGCTGATTACACAAACATCTTTTTCGCGTCGCGATTCTAGTACTTCGGAAGTATTCACCTCGGCTGTGGGGCAGGCGGATGAGCGGGAGAAGCGTCAACGACGCAAAACGCAATCCTGGACGGAATCGTTTGGACCCAGCGGTGGGATCATTCTTGACGCAGTGCCCCAGCAGTCAAATGTAACACCCAGTGCCGTACTTCGAACGCGCGGTCCGCGACAGCCCTCACGCCATGCCAGCTGGGGATCGGGCGACAATCGCAGCAGCTTGCCGCTGCGTACAAGTTCCTGCAGCTACTATGACAGCAACCGCAACACCACTGCCATTTTCGAGGGTGAAATTCAGGATCTAAAGCGCAGTAGCAGCAGCACCACTACGAGCAACTGCAATGCCAGTGAATCGCAGCTGGGCACAGTAAA